AAAAAAAAAAAAAAAAAAAAAAAAAAAAAAAAAAAAAAAAAAACTTGACCTTTAATTTTTATTTATTTTATCTTTAATAGAAAGTTAAAAGTTTCACATAATATTTGATTTTATTTCTCATTAATTATTAATTTTTTGAAAAAATTGAATATATTAAACATTTTGCCCATTTATAATTTCATAAATGTAAAGGTTGAGTGTGACCCTATTTAAAAATTAAAAATGGAATAGAATTATATAAAGTTTAAATATAATTATATAAAGTTTAGTTGAAAATAAACCTAAAAGGTAACAAATATTATCAAATCTCGACCCATAATATTCTGATTTAAAATTTGACCAAGCAAATTTTATAGATTTAACCTTATCCTTTAATTTTATTTTACCAATAATGTTCTTTATTAAAAAAAAATTAACATTATACACTTAATTTATTAATTACCTACAAAAATACATTTGTTTATAATTTATTAATTTCCTTCAAAATTACATGGTAAATACTTCTAATATTGTTAACAATAAATAAATAAATAAAACCCACTAATAATATTGATGGCTTAAACCAAATTTATGAAGTTTTTATTTATTTATTATTATTATTATTGATTTTTGGGAGTATAATTAGAGAATATTTATTTATTAGTTAAAAGTAATGATTCCCTTTTACAGTTTTTTTTTTTTTTTTTTTTTGTCAGAGTTGTTTTATTTTAGGTATTTTATTTTGTAAAATTTTAATTTATATAGTAATGTGATTAAAACGAATAATTAAGGACTAAAAATCATAGTTATCATAAAAAATAGAAATATTTTTAGGTGTTAATTTTAGAAACTATTTTTCTTTGGAAGAATATGCTTTGATTAGTTATTATTTGTAGTGCTTTCAATTTTACGAACTTAATATCGGATATTCTATTTTTATAATTTGACATTGTGATTAGATCGAATAATTAAATTCTAAAAATCATAGTCGAAGAACAAAACATCACACCTTCAATTTTTATACCATTTTAGTACATTATAATATTTTTTACATTATTACTTTCGGACTTTTTCTGTTGCAAATCTTAATACATTTCTTTTTTCATTTTTTAAATTAAATTCGAATATTTAATATTTTAAATACAATAAATGATAATAATACGGAATACAGAATATTTTCAGATATAATTTTACAAAAAAAAAAAAAAAAAAGCTTCCAACATTATATTTTAAACAACTTTCCTTTGAAGTAACTTTGCTACTTTTTTAGAATATATAAATATTTTATGTCATATAATTACGATATTATAATCTCGAACAAATATTAAAGAATTGAAATCTCTAAAAAAAAATATTAAATAATTATTTGTAATAATTAAATATAAGTTTGGGTTGGAATATAAATTTATTTAGTTTTGTATGGTTAATTATTTTAATAATATTTTAAATTATTTATTCTCCAAACACGGCTTATAATAAGTTTTACTATTTCAAATGTTTTTCTTAAATATATATTGAAATTAAGTTGCAAAATTTAATCAAACTAAAAAAAATTTATAATTGAGTTAGGTTCATTATTTAATAAAAATTGTTTGGGTTGAAAATTTTATGGTCTGAACAATTGGGTTGAGTCTAAAAAAATGTGTTATGGATCGAATCCAATTCATGAATACCCGAATTAAACTCTAACCAAATATTTATAGGAATGATATCATATTTTGACTTCTTCTTCCTGAGTTCTTGACTATAATTTAATATGAGTTTGAATGAGACTATTTTGATGATTATATAATTATATAATTATATTTTACCTATTTTTTTTAATTTTAAAAAAGGTTGATTTTGTATTTTCCTTTCAAATTTATATATGCATTTTAGCAAAGGAAGCATTATAATGATTGGAAAAATAAAATTTTAAAATATAAATATATAAATATATAAAAACAAAAAATAAAATAATGGGTTAAAAAGTTATAATTGAAAGTCAGTTTCAAAGGAAGAAAAAGAATTGTTTTACTAAAAAAAATAATTAAATAAAAAAAAAAAAAACTCATAAATTTAGCAGTTTTTTTTTTTTTTTTTTTTTTTTTTTTTTTTTTTCAAACCCAATAATGGGAAAACGCTTACAAATCAATTGGAGAAACTCCTTTTAATGAAAACTATTTTGTTTATAATTTTCTAAATTATTTAAATTTTATTTTTAAAAATTAAATAAAGTAAATAATAATAATTATTTTTTTCGTTATTGAATAAGATATTAATATCAATATTAATACTTAACTTAAACTACACTTAATTAATAATTTAATTTATTCATCATTTTGATTTTACAATTATTACGAATCTTAAAAAAAATTAAAAAATTCCTTTTATTCAACTTTTAACACCCCTTTAAAAGGTGTAACCTCCAAAATTTCAAAAACTAAATTATATATATTTTTAAATTTATTATTCTTAACTTTTAAAACGTTTTTAAAAATAGATTATAAAATGCAATAAAATAAATAAATAAACAAAACTTTTTACATAAAGAGAGAAAAAAAAAAAATCCATGTTACAACAAAGATGCTTAGAAAATGCAAAATCACTATTACGCCATTAAATAAATACCCTTTCAAATATCTAATAATTTAGTCTCTAAATTTTAGCATATAATAATTTATACTTTTGTTATTTAATAGCTAATTTTTAAATTGAAACTAAATCACTATAAATTTTAAAATATAAATTAAAAGATATCTACCTTAAAATTATAATTTTGTATCGGGTAGATTCGTAAAAAAGTTTAAATTTTTACGTAAAAATAAAAAATAAAAATTATAATATAACATATATATATATATATATATATGTTGTAAAGGAAGTCAAAGAAGGATATGGGTGGAGAAATGCATTTAAGGAAGATTTGGGTTTGGTCTTAGGGGTCAGCGTTGTAACGCATGCCTTTACTCTTTCAAAAATTCTTATTCTCTCATTCCCTAAATTCTCTCTCTTCTATTTCTTTTCTCTCTCTACAAATTAAAAATTAAAAAATTCACAAAAAAAAAAAAAAAAAAAAAAA